ACCTATCCTAGAGTCAACCAAGCATAGTCTCAAACCCTGCATACCTTTACTTCCTAGGAAGAAATTCATTCAAAAGACAAAGTCCAATGTACAAATTCCAATTCATAAGGAAAACAAAAAGGGGTGAAAAACAAGCCTCAAAAGCATACCACATACCAAGACAAGAACAAAGTAAAAATAAGGGAAAAGAAAATAAAAGGAAAAGAAAATAAAAGGAAAGCCATAGATAAAGGAAGAATAGGAAAAATTGAGAAAGGAACTAGAAAGCAAGTTAAACACATATATCCCAATCGACATTCAACTGATTGAATGACAACATCGTCAAGGCTCCCAAACACATTACGTGTTAAAAATAAATCATCCTCGAACCGTTCAACTTCCCCTAAACTAAACCTAATCTATGCATCCAAAGAAAATAAAGAGAAAAATTAGAAAGGTCTCACCGGGCTATCCATGCTTAGCATAATAAACAAAGGCGATAGAAAGAACCACCTTCGTTGCGCCTCAAAATTGTAAGCATCATCAAAAAGCCATGTGAGAACAAGAAAAGCAAAAGAATCTATAAACAAAGAAAAAGGTTAGTAACTTCAAAACAAAAGAAAAAGATACTAAAAAGTAAAACTAAACAAAGCTAACAAAAACACTAAACAACTAAGCAAAACTAAGCTAACAAAGACCAAAAAGGAAAGTAAAGAAAGAATAAGTAAACAACTAACTAACTAAAAGACACTAGACTACAAGATTTGGATTCAAAGGGATTTGGATTCAAGGGTTTTGGATATAAGGGAGCAAGAATCAATCAACATCATCACAAAGAAAACATCACAACAACAATGGCAAACAAGCTCATGGGACTAGCAACAAGCATCATCAAGACTGGAGACCAAGAAATGAAAACCATCATGCAAGAGGCAAATAAAATACAAGGTAAGAAACAACAACAAATATTGGCAACTGAGACACAAATGAGGTTCCCCCAAGCTAAACATGAATACATCTCAACATCCCAACAATACAAATCAAGCACATAAAACATAAGGGATGGAGGTAAAAGGCACAAAAGTGAGGGAACTAAGACTCATCATTACTACCACCACTTGGCCCGGCCTCATTGGAATCATTGTTGCCCATGTAGTCATCAAAGGTTGGGGGTGAGTAAGGAGCCCAATCTCCGGTGAATCCCTCAGACCAACCACAATGCCCCTTGAAGTTATCTTGCTGCCAAGGGGAAAGAGGTGTGAATTTCTCGGGCAAGGCAAGCTCAAATGGATGGTTAGGGTGCACATAGGGGTAATTAGGGTCACCCCTATAGTCACACCCTCCGGGAGCACGGTACCATGCTCGTCCGGGTAAGAACGAGGCTTGGTACCGGGCTCTAAAGGCCCTTGCCAATAAGGATGCCCATGCGAAGGTATAGGACCTTGCTGGGGCGGAAAGTAAGGATAGTTAATCGAGGGAGTGATGTTCCCTCGGTTAACCTCCGCATCATAGAGTTGTTGTTGTTGAATGAACATACCTTGTTGCATTTCGGAAATACCTCGCATTTGGGAGTAGAGGGCCTCAAAATCTTGGTCATACATGCCCTCCAAGCGAATTTGCAACCCACTCATTTGGTTGCTTAGGGCCTCCAAGTCGGAGCTAGCAAATTGAGGTTGTTGCACTTGCCCTTGTTGTTGTGTTGTTGTTGTTGTTGTTGTTGATTTTGTTGATGTTGTTGTTGATTTTGTTGATGTTGTGGCTCTTCTTCCTCTTCTTCTTCTTCTTCTTCCTCATCGGAGTCAAAGTAGGGGCGACGGAAGCTCTAGGGGACATGCCACACATTAGGGGTGTCTATCCGGCGGAGAGATGTCGAAGATGGGTTAGGAAGGTAGCACCAATGCTTGTTATCCCGAAGCCACTCATAATGCCCCTCCTCATAATGCTTGGAGATGAATTGAATTTGCCCCAATTGTTTCATATCAAGGTATAGGGAGGCGGCATCTCCAACCGGCTTGTAATATGGAAAATGATGATTGATGTGGAGGTTGGTCAAGAGCCTAATGACCATTCCCCCACAAGGAATCTCTCCGGTGTCCCGGTCTTGCAAAGCTACACAGTAAGTGGCAAAGATGTACCCCAAGTTCAACCGGCCACGATATTCTCCTCTAGTGGCCAACCATAAAATATAGAGCTCCAATTTACTCATCTTGTCCAACTCTTGCTTGGGGAAAACCGAGTTCCCCAAAAGAGGGTGAACAACCCGAAGACAAGGTTGGTACACGTTGCTAATCTTGGCCTGCTTGGTGACAAACTCACCACCTATGGAGATATCATCCCACCAAGAATCCTGATCATACTCCTCAAAAATATAAGGCTCTAGATCCAAGATATCACCATGAGGATCAAAATCTAGAGCGGCATTGAATTGCTCTAAGGAATAGTCGAAGAAGTTGTTGAAAATCTGAAATCGGACCCTATATTGACCTTCTACGGGAACTATCTCAACCGTAGCAAAGAAATCGAGAGTGGGCTCAACATAGGTGCGGTATCTATGGGAGATGAATGTGCCCATCCTAAGGTTGATCAACAACTCCCTTACATCCTCATCAATCCCCAACGCGGACATGTCGGGTTGGAAGTAGTGCCTTGTGGGCTTGAGGGAGCGGTTTTCCTTTAATTGATGGTATCGGTTCTTTTGTTTTTTATCATGGATTTTTCTTTTGGGTGGTGGAGTAGGTTTGCGTGTTTGGGAGGTGGATGTGCTTGGGGTAGGTTCATCAATGGAGGTGTTTGTTTTGCGTTTCTTGACAAGGTTTTATAGGAATTTCGACATGATGAACTCCAAGTGTAGGATCACAAAAACCAATCACAAAATTTCCAACAACAATCCACAAAATTCACCAACCAAGAACTTCAATTTCCACCAATCACAATTCCAATCCAAATTGCCAAACAACACCAAACAACCAACAATTTCTTCCCACACAATCAAAATCACAAGAAGAACCAACCAATACCACAATAGCACCTTACTACTGCTGCTATAATTTGTTACCCCCGTCGCGTCGCTGTTTTAGATGGCATATACAAGTCTCCGTGTTGTCGATAGGCATTTCAGGTTTCGGATACGCTCACTTTTCTTATAGACCTCGGGATCGGAGGTTTGAATGACTCATATGGATGGTCGAGTCGGTTTCCGCATATTGCCCGGGCAAAGGCGCCCTCTCGAGGATGGAGTACTTCCCTGGTACCCTCGGATCAACGCGTTTACACGCTTGTCTTTTTTCGGGCACCAAACTTTTCACAGGGCGCAAGGGTAAAAAGCTGTCTATCCCAAGCAGATAAGCCTTGCCTCGCCTCGCCTCCTGCTACGTCAGGTAGTATACCTTCCTACCAAAATTTAAATTCCGAATTTTTCAACAAAAATTGCTCACAAATGCTACAAAATCAACAAACAACACAATGTGAGTTGAAATCAAACAACAAACAACTCAAAATCATCCAAAAACAAATATCAATCATCAAAATCATCAAAAACGATACTAGTACTATTCATGCTCATGAACAAATCAAAACTTGCAAATATATGACATAATTAAGCAATTAAAAGCTAGAGAAGATGATTATACCATATATGAAGCAAGTTTGAACCACTTTTATCCACCAATTCCCACCAAATTGAAAAGCCCCAAATTATACCCAAGTATGCAGGAGAGAGATTGGAGGTTTAATTTGGTGAAAGTAGTATGAATTTGATGATTTGGATGAAAATGGAGAAGTTATTAGTGAATTTGGAGTGAGAAATTGAGTGATTTGTGTTGAAATTTGATGAGAATGAGAATGAGACGGAAGTGGTGCGGTTTCAAGGGTTTGAGGTTGATGGGGGTCAAATGTAGAAGGAGGAAATAAGGGGAAATGAGAGAATGAAGTAAGGAAGAGAAGATAAGGGGGGCACGGGCTGGCTGGCGCTCCCGCACCAGCCAGGTGCGCGGCCGTACCAACCACGTGCGCGCCCGCACCTGTGCCTAGCCTGATTCTTCTTCTTTTTTATTTTTGGTGCGTTCATCGGTGGGTTTATCGATCAAGATCAACATTTGGGCTCTTGAACCCACTGAAAGTGGTAGATTCAAATCAAGATTTTAGTGGGTTCAAAATTCCAAAATAATGGTAGCACCACATAAACACACCAAGTGCAAAATACCTTCAACTTTAAAGCACAAAATTCCCTATCTTACTTTACTAAAATTCTTACCCTTTTACCTCAAATTCCGATGATATAGAATATAATCACATCAAAAACCGCAAACACCTTCTCATTCCTCATGCTCACTTGATGAAATCCAATCCCAAAAATGCAACCTACAAATCCAAAAAAGTAGAAAAGTGAAAGAAAAGAAACTAAAAGAAAGAAAAATAAGAAAAAATCAAAAAGAAAAGTTAGAAATCTCCGGGTTACCTCTTGGGAAGCGCTTTCTTATGGTCCTAAGCTCGACCCTTCCTCCAAATCATGGAAGTTCAAAGAACACCACCTTCTTCAAGGTAGCGGAAAGAGAAAATTCCTCTTCAACTTCTAGCAACCTCTTGTTGTTGCTTGATGAAACTTCCTACAAAGACTTTTCAATTGCAAATTTTTCTTTCCGTAACTTCTTTATCTCTCTCTTCTTCTTAGAATAACGAGCTTTTTCTTTGGCTTGTTGTTCATTGTAGATGGTTCCTCACCATCCATACTCATGGAAACATCCCCTTCATCTTGAGGATAGAGCTCAAACCAATGAGGAACTTCAACTTCCTCCTCGTCCATAAGCTTAGGAATCATCATTTTCTCTTCACTGACCTTCTTGCCATCAAAACTTGAAAGAGCATAATCACAATTCTCAAGAACATCGTTAGTTGAAGAATCAATCATGCACACATTATCAATAGAGCGAGGGGAATTAGCACACATATATAATTCCTTGCACAAGAGACAAAGACTCATGCATTGGTTTCAACTCAAAACTTTCCTGTTTCTTACCAACTTTCTAGGTAATACGACCTCCTTTCACATCTATTAAGGCTCCCGAAGTGGCTAAGAAAGATCTTCCTAAAATGATAGGGATATGGTCATCTTCCGCAATCTCAAGCACAATGAAATCAACGGGAATAGTGAACCCTCCTATCTTAAGAGGAACATCCTCAACTTTCCCCTTTGGAATCATAATAGTCTGATCGGCCAATTGAAGGGTTATGTTAGATGGGAGGAGCTCACCTAGCTTGAGTTTCTTGAAAATGGAATAAGGCATGACGCTCACACTAGCTCCAAGATCACAAAAAGCATTATCAAACATTTTTCCTTTGATCTCATATGGAATAGAGAAATTACCTGGATCCTCCATCTTCTTGGGCAATTCATTATGAATGAAAGCACTACAACAATTCCCAACTTCAACTGAATCAACCTCATTACACTTTCTCTTCCCGCTCAAAATCTCCTTAAGGAACTTAGAGTACCTAGGCATTTGGGTAATTGTATCGGTGAAGGGGATAGAAAGGTGAACTTCCTTGAGCATAGCAAGAAACTTTCCAAATTGCTCATCCATTTTGTGCCTCAAGAATTTTTGTGGGTATGGAAGGTCGGGTCTCCACACTTCCTCACGCTCTTTCTCACTACTCTTCTTTTTCTCTTGCACCTCTCATAACTCACACTCTTAGACACAACCTTCTCAACTTCCTCTCTTGGGTCACTCCTCTCCTCATCCTCCTCAATGGACCTTGAAACTCCCTCATTAAGAACTCTCCCACTCCTAGTGGTGATAGAATACACGGGTTTCTTAGGTTCCACTCCTTGAGAAGGCAAAGAGGATGGACTAGCACAATCCTTTAGAGTGTTGGCTAGTTGGGTTATTTGTATCTCAAGCATTTTGTTATGAGTCATCATCTCATTAAATTTCTTGTCACTCACCGCCATATAGGTGTTTATGATCTTGGTTTGGTTATCAATCATTTCTTCCAAATTTGTCTTAAATGATGATGGTTGGGAATAAGAATTTTCACCATTGGCTTGAGGCTTTAGAGCAAAACCGGGTGGGGGTCCCCTTTGGTTGTTATTTTGAAAACTTCCCCGATTTTAGTTGTTGTTCCAATTGCCTCGGCCTTGACTATTGCCACCATTATGGTAATGGCTACCAAAGCCTTGAGAATGACTTTGGTTTCCATACCCATGGCTTGGGTTTTGATTACTATAACCTTGGTTGTTATAGTTACCTCGGAAACCTTGGTTTCCTTGGTTCCTATAGCCTGCATTGTTGTAGTTATGGAAACAACCTTGGGGGTAAGAATTCCTATTGCCAATATTCTTAGGTCCATCAAACCTTTGACCACCATTGGCATTAGACATAAAGTTTACATGTTCACATTCATTATTTTCAACAACATCACATCCATCAACAAAAGTTTGAGAACACATGGAAGAATCATGATCATAAGATCCGCAAGAATCACAAAATAGACAACCACTTGGCATGTTGTTGGAAGTAGAAGGAGAAGAGTTAGAAAGTGTACCTCTCCCTTTGGATTAGGAGGGAAGACTCAATGAATTTGTAGAAACACTCTCAAGCTTGGCTTTGATCGATGTCATTTCCTTCCCTAGATTTGAAATTTGGGAGGACAAGTTGTTAATCGCGTTGAGATGATCCACCGAATAAACCATCGAGCCACTCTTGCTCGTAGACTCCCTCTCTCATTCTTGCCATTCTCTATAGTATCTCACCAGGACACATCCTCAATTATGTCAACTACCTCTTCTTCCGTCCTATTCATTATAGGACCTCCGGCTCCTCCGTCTAGGCATGACTTGCCTTGGGCACTCAAGCCTCCATAGAAAATTTGTATCACTTGATAGGAAGAAATTCCATGATGTGGGCACTCTCTTTGGTACTCCTTGTACCTCTCCCATGTTTCACGGAGATTCTCATTAGGCCTTTGTTTGAATCCTTGGATCAAGGCTCTAGCCTCCGCCGTCTTCTTTTGTGGGTAAAAGCGAGACAAGAAAGCCTTTGTGACTTCATCCCACGTCCTAAGGGAATTGGGCTTAACCTCCTTATCCAACCACTCTAAGGCACAACCAATAAGAGAAAAGGGAAACAACTTTAGCCGAATGAACTCTTGAGAAATGTCGTTCACCTTGATAGTATTACAATACTTCTCAGATTCCTTTAGGTGATTCAACGGGCTCTCACTCTTGGCTCCACTAAATTGCCTCCGTTCTATCAAAGTAATCATGGCCGGTCTTAGTTCAAAATCGTTCGCTGGTGTTGTAGGTGGAGCAATGCCGCTCTCAAACCTATAAGCACCGAGAATTCCCAACTCCTTCAAAGCTACTCTTGGATTCTCTCCCATGCCTTGCTCTTCTTCTTCCTCAAACTCTTCTTCACTTGAGGAACTTAGGCTCAAAGATCGATTGGCTATCCTTCTTCGTGAAAGAGTTCTTTCAATTTCCGGATCCAAAGTAAATAAGGACCTATCACGAGTTCTACTATGCATGCAAAAACTAAAAAGAAATTGTTAGTAACGTGGCTACAAGTGTAGCCTAAAATAAAGAAGAAAAATCTTTTTGTGTTTTTGAATAAGATGGAATAGACTCAGCAACAATACACAATCACAACACCATTCCCCGGCAACGGCGCCATTTTGACAAGGGTCAAAACTAGGTCGTTGAAACTAACCCCTACCCTAGGCCAAACAAAATTTGTAATCTCTCAACACACCCTTACACAAGTATAATGGTAAGTTGAGGGTCGAACCACTAAGGAACGGTGGGCGATTATCTATTTCCTAAGTCAAGCTACTCCGAAATGGTAGGGTGTAGGTATGTAAACTAGGACAAGGATGACTAAACAACAAATTGAAATCAAGTATGTAAAACGCTAGGGCTAGGGTCCACATGTAATCGTAACGGATTCAACTAATTGGGAGGTCAAAGTGACTAAGTCAAGCAATGTGATGGAAGACCAATCATGCAACCAAAAGAGCGTATCAAGCTATTTTCCTAGAGGTCTAACTAGCGTCAACTACGATAAACTCTAGCTAGGAACGTCACAAGACACCTCAATCGTTAAATGCAAGCCACAAATCGATGGTCCGTATCAATGTGAACTTACAATGCAATCTAGTGCAACAATCAAAGTTAGGTACTCTTTAATTAATCACACACATGCACATGATCATCAACTAATTTAATCACATAGTCAACTCCATCAATTTTCCCCAATTAGCATTAATCCATTACTCATACATGCTTCACCATTACCCTAGCAAGCAGTCTACTCACTAGCCATTGAAATTAAGATCAAAACAACACTAAGCAACAAATTCATCATGATCAAATCAAACGAGCTAAAATCAAACACAAATCAATCAAACTTCAATCAAACTAGAACAATCAACAAAACAAATGAAATCAAACTAAAGATCAAACTATAGATTGAATTAAAGGAAAGGAATCCTTACAAACTTGATAAAAAATCAAAGGAAATGAAGAAATCTTCAATCATCAATTATCCACCATGAATTTCCCTCTCTAAAAACCTAGAGTTTCTCTCTCTAAAATCTCTCTAATTATGATCTAGTTGTCATCTAATTCAATTCTCTAATCCTTCTCCTCCCTCTAAAAATAGAAGGAAAGACTATATAAAGGAAAGATACAAAACAAGAGTTAGTTAGATCGTCCCAAAAGAAATCCCGGAAGGTGCGGTCGCATCAAGGGGGAGGCGCGGCCGCGGGAAAAAGGGTACGGAACAGGGACCCAGGCATGCGCGCCCGCGCCAACCAGGTGCGCGGCCGCACCACCCTCGTGCGCGCCTGCACCTGGCAGCAGGGGAGCAATCCTCTTCTTCGTCCTAGCTCATACTCGTGCGCTCGTCTTGGTGATGATGATGAACACTAAGGTAGGCAGTCTTGAAATGACCATTTTGGTGGGTTCATGCCAAAGATGATGCCCCCATCGCATGCATGCACCGATCTCATGAACTTGCTCCTTGCATTCCTTCAAACTTGAGCTCCAAATGACAAGCAAGAGGCATCCAAAATGATGAGAAATATGATAGGAAGGCTCGGGAATCCTCGAAACATGATCATAACCTGAAAATACACGAAAACAAGCAAATAAAAGGGAAAAAGACCAAATAAACAAAGAAATTCACAAAGAAAGAAACTAACTAAGGAAAGCACAAACTAAAGAAATAAAGAACAAAACTAAGGAAAACTAAATAAAAGAGCTATAAAATAGCATGAAATTCATCCTAAAAGAAGCCAAATGAGTGCCATAAATGACACTCATCAACCACCGAAATCATCAGCATGCTCTTTGAGTAACAATTCATGTTACTTAAATTGAATAACTCGGATTTACTCTGTATTTAATAAGGGTAAATATATAAATAATTTTAAGGGGAATAAGTGTCTCAACAATATTTATTAAAATAGAACATATACATTTAAGGGTAAATGCGTAAATAAACATTTTGAGGGATATAATTGTTTTAACATCAATAAATGTAGACACCCATTTGTGTCTCTGACAGGGTAAGGTCGTATCCCCTAACCAAAAATAATTACCTAAATCACTAAGTAAGGTAGATAGGGAAGTAGGGTCGATCTCCATAGGGAAACTAGTCTTTTTACTCTTAATTTATTATTATAATCTAAACTATTCAAGTAACCAATATTTATAGTTGAATAAGAAGCTAAACTAAATAGAGTAGGAAAAGGGAGAAAATAATATATAAAAGGATCTAGGGCATAAGTTCACCAATAAACAATACTCCGGGGTAAAATAGGGTAATCAATCATTGACATTGCATAAATAACATGATTAATAGGCTCTCGCAATTTATTAATCAACATAGATCTAACAGGCTCTCGCAATTTACTAGATCTAAGTTCTCATTGAAAATAACCTTTATTATCAAATTAACATCTGCTCGATTCATCAATTTAATATTGCTACACTTTTACAAGCCACAATTGTAAAACATTAAAACAATCCAATAAGAAATTATCATGCAATACCAATAATCAATAATAGTCAATCATCAATGCATCAATTAATTAGATTGCTCTCACTACTTATTACAATCACACAATTAATCTATCGGTATTAAACCTCATCTCTCGAATCTTGACTTAACCATTTATAAATTAGCTTGCCTATTGAAACTAGACCTAAACATTAATTCTCATCTCTCGATTCTTGAATCAATATTGTCAAACTCATGCATAAAAGATAGGCCTAATCTAGTCACAGAGCATTAAATCAATCAATAGGAAATTAATCTAGCATTGATAATTAACAACAATAATTTACCCCTTCATATTATTTATTAGATCCCCATAAACCCTAGAAATTAAACTACTCACACATATTAAAAACTAAACTAATCAAAATAATAGAATAAATCATGATCAAAGGAATAAAATAAAATAACTAAGATTAAGGGAAGAGATATCGTTACCAAAATAAATCTGGAATTAATCAAAGGATTAAGAACAAAAGTTTAGAGAGATGTTAAGAGAGAGAAAACTAAGTAGAGAGAGAAAGTCA